CATTTAATTTTGAAATTATAATAGATTCAAAGGAAGCTGCAAAGATAGTACAGGAATGTCTCATGTACCCTTTACCCACTCCTCCCAATAACATCTTGCATAATTATAATATAAAAACCAGGAATTTAATATGCACAGTGCAACACAATGAATTTTAAAAGTTCACTTCAAATGAGACTTAACCACATGAAATTTCAAGAACATCAAGGATAAAGAGATCCAAAAAGCTTTTCAGAGAGAGAAAAAAAGAAGTCACATACAGAGGATTGATAATCTGAGTGGAAAACAACAGAACAATGCCTTCAAAATTCTGAGTGAAAGTTTTTTGGGTTTGTTTTTTTTTTTTTTAGAATTATATGTCCAGCGATGCTATGAATGAAGTATGAGAATAGAAGAGCCATTTTCAGATGTGCCATGTCTGAGAAGCCATGATGAGATGTTCTTCCCCATCCTGTGAGAGGAAAGAGAAAGAGGAAGGCAGGGAAGCAGGGAAAGAAGGGCTCCAGGAGAAGATCAAGGAAATGTCCAGAAATGCCCACAAAAAAGGATGACAGCCACATGGCTGCTCAGTCAGAGAGTAAGGCCTGACTTCCAGAAAGGATGGCGCCAGGGAAACTGGGAGGGGGTGTGCTGCCCAAAAAGACTGACCTGTGGAAAATGATGTCACAAGGTACTGCAGAGAGCGATTAAGAGTGTGGAAGGACTCAGAGACCTTTAAAAAATAAATTAAATAAATGAAAAGAATAAGACAATTATTATCCCCAAGGGGGAAAAAGTTGTGTAAGAAAGAAAATGCAATTATGGCTTGGCAATAAGCAATAGCAATGTATTTGTATTTTCAGAATTATGGGAACTCTGAATGTGCTTTCAACCATAAACAATATAGCCATTTTGGGGGAATAGGAGTGGGGAGGAAGAGATAAAAGAGATAAAATAATACTTTAGCAAAAAGGTAAATAATATCTAGATAATGTCTAAAATTGGCAAATCAAGAAATAGCAGGATATGTTTGCTTATTTAGAAATCTAGCAAAAAAAGCCAAAAACTGCCAAAAGAGTTGAGTACCCCTCAGAAGGGTAGAAACGTGATTTGCAGAAGGAGTAAGGGGGGTTATTTTACCATAAATCTTTTAACTCAGTTTTACCAGGAACTATAAGCATAAAATACTCTGGTAAAAATATAAATGAATATCGTTTCATTTTAGATTAGAAGTACTATTATCAAACAAAAAGCACTATCTAAAAAAACGGTAGAACACAGTTCTACTCATCCTTTATGGGGGAGGCCTTCTCTGAAGTGTTTAGAATTCAAAGCAGACTGAAAGATTTTACATTCTCCTTGTGAAAACGGGGAAGTTCAAATTCCCACCTGGAAGTACCTTAAAGCTAACAGGACAGCTCAAGCTCACAAACACTTTCGCCACCATCCCATCACAGTGGCTCCGTGTTCATGAGCCTCCCCATGGATGGGTGTGAATGGTGAAAGTAACACAAACCTTCAGCCCCAGGGGACGCTGGGCCCAGAGCCCAGGACAAGCCAGCCACAGCCTGAGGGCAGAGCACTTTGCTCCCTTGACCAAATCCAACTGTGTGGTGGGAGAGCTCACGGTACCGTCACCACACACGTCACTGTGGGGGTGGACGCCCCTATTCCAGCGTGTGCAGACCTGCACTAACAGTGGTGAGAAGGTTGCACGGCGGCAGTATCTGGCGTGACAGACGGTGGCCAGATATGTGTGAAGAGACTGGCAGTGCAGAGGGTTGGCCAAGGGGCATGGAAGGGAAACGGGGAGTCATCAGGAAAGAGCGGAGTTGTTTAGTAAGATCCCAAGAGTCAGCAGAAAATTGCTGGGAGCTGCTGCCCACGGGAAGACAGACAAGGCACAAGAGCAGTCTGACAACACTGGCCCGGGGGTGGCTGGCCTGTGGGCAGCGGCGGCATGGCAGCTTTGCGGCCCTTGCCCTCCTAGGGGTCTTCCCTTCTTTGGGTCTCACTCTGCAACAGATGGGCCTCCTGTCTTGAGAGGGCACGGCCGAAGAGCCCGGTGGAGGCTGTGACCAGGCAAGGGGCAGATTCCAGCAGATTCCACACCTCTCCCAGATGGGGCGAACCATATTCAAGGCTCGCTTATTTCTTCCTTTCCTTCTTCCTTCCTTTTTTCTTTTGTTCTTTCTTTCTTTCTTTTTTTCTTTTTCTTTCTTCTTTAATTTTTTTGGGTGAGGCATCTGATTAAAGATTGAGGCAGTTTAGCCCTAGTTTATGAGGAAACAGAATGTGACAGAGTCCACAGCTCAGAGTGACACATCACACACGCCACACTGCCCACACACACTATGCTCACCAGGTGGGCGGGCTCTCTACGTGTGGTCACCTTACTGGTGCATCCATGGGAGAAGAGAGAGCCAGCGGCAGATCGTGACCTTGCGTCCAAGGTGAAGGTCTCCGGCAAACTTAAGCTTCAGCAGGAAGTTCTTAAAGGAGCCTGAACCACACGGTTCCCGTTTGCTGACTGAGGCACTGAGTGTGTACACACATGCTGCAGACAGACAGACAGACCAACCGTGGGAAGCGGGGCCCAGAGCAGCACAGTATGGAAGGTCAACAGGGTGAGGGTTTCAAGGCAGGAGTATTAGGATTCCCTAAACAGAGGGAAGCAGAAAACTCTCTGACTTTCCTATGAAGTATGAAGATGACTGCTGACCAATTAAGTGTCAAGTCCCTTTCTGACAGTCCAGCCACTGGTGGCCTAGGAAACCAAGGAATGTTTGTGAAGCTCAAGAAGATGCTAGAAATGGCTTCTGCCACTAAAAGAAAAGAGCCAGTGGCAGTCACATGGCTGGGTGCTGGCCTGCAGCAAGTGAGGAGCAGGACTCCCCCCACCACCGCAGTGCTGATGCAAGGGCACAGGGCATTCTTTGTAAGAACATGTGCAAATATTCAGATCCTGCCCAAAATGAAAAAATCCTCCCATCTGGAGGCTGGCACTACTCGTGAAAGCCTCTTTTCTGATGACACACTAATTCTAGGAAATGTTTAAGTAAGCAGGTACTGAGAACAGCTTGGGAGATGCTGAAATGCCTGTCTTGGAGACCAGATAACCAATATCCAAGGCTTCCTGGGAAATAAATCCTGCCGTGAAACAAGGAGATGAATTAGGAAGAGGATGAACTAATGGCGGCTTCCATTCCAGAAGATACTAAGGAGCACAGGGCTGGAGACGCATGCAGCCGCACCTTGAAACACCCAGCCCCGCACACCATGCACACGGTTAGCAAGATGCTAAATTCTCTACGGGGTTAAAGAGCACTATAGTTACCACTGTTCATCATAAGGTGCAGGTGCAGACCCCGTTAGCTCACAGCACGCTGAGAATTTTCAATTATCCACTCAATAGCAGCCCACCCCTGGAGCAACACAGAAAGAGTTCAACATGGTGTAAGAAATTCTGCTTCCCTCGCTGCAGACAGCAGGCCTCAGCCTGCACTTCAAAGGGCATGAGGAAAGCGTGGCCCATTTTATTTTTTATTTATTTATTTTTATTTATTTATTTTGGTAGCATGGCCCTTTCTAAAAGAGATACAGCAGTCACCGTTCCTGAACAATCTTCACTGGAGTGGGCAGTTTCTCAAGCTCAGAAATCAGCTGGTACATATTCTGCCTGAAATTCTCACACCAGCTTGTGCTGTACCCACCACGGCACCCATCAGCTGCACTGTCCCTTCTGAGAGCCCAGCCAGCGGTTGGCCTCGCAGCCTCCTCAAGGGCTCATCCCACCCAAACCCCAGCATGACCTGCTCTCCTTCTCCTGTCTCTTGGGCTTGCTACCAAGTGGTAACACAGCTCGGGGGAGGAAGTGATTCTCTGGCAGGCTTTCAACACAGCAACCCCTCACATAAAGTGAAATAAAAGACTTTCATTTGGCCTCACTGAGTTTCCCCTGCCTTTTCTCGTAAGAGGTGTCAGGGTGGCTTTGGCCTCACCAAGTAGTCCTTTCCTCCTGTAACTTATTTTTTCCAGCAAACATTTAGGGCGCCTGCCCCAGGCCAGACCCTGGACTCACAAAAGTGAGTACAGTTTTGTCTCCTCCCCAGAGGGCCTGCAGTATGGACACAAGGCAGGCAGCTCTGGGCACTGCCTTCCCTGAACTGAGCTGAGTGACTGCCAACTTTGCTAAAATTTGCTTTTTTCTTAAAAACAGGGCAGACTGGCTCTTCTATCAGTGCTGCGGCTACATGCAGGGCAGAAGTAGTTTTCCCGTTAAATTGTGACAAGCATGGTGGGCATCCCACTGGTCCCCCAAATGGAGAATTACTTCTGACCAGAATAAACCAGAAGAGGGGAGGGACAGGGCGGACAGCCAGGAAGACGTCAGCCTGGGAGGGAAGCGAAGGTGAGAAGCGAAGGCCCTGCTCTGGCAGGTGACGTTACCTTGAACTCGTGCAATGGCTGCCACACATCCAAGCTCTTTCCATGGCTTGCTCTGCTGGAAGGAGGACAACCTGGACTCCGTGAGCAGTATCTGCCTCACGAAGGCAGCCCTCCCGCTAGGGACCTGGGGTCCCACCTTTCTCCTGCCACCTCCACAGACCTTACTCCCCAGTCCTGCCAGAGGGGAGGCACAGAGACAGGAGTTAAGTCTGGGGGAGCTTGGCAGACGGGAGGCTCAGCCAAAGCCTGTTCAGTGGGAAACTACGATTCCTGACCACCCTGCCTGACAACGCTCATGTGTGGGGTTTGTCCTGTGCACTGAGACTGCGCTAGTTGGCTCTTTGACGCCATACTTGCCTCCGCTGGGTTTGTGTCCCATGTTCACCCAATGCTTCCCCCTGAGGCCTGGGCCAGCTTTCCCTGTGGCCAGTTTTGACCGTGACAGTGGAAAAGGCTGTGACATCACAAGCTCGCTGGCAATGGAGGGCCACAGCCCTCGGTAGGACAATAACATTCCAGCCCCTTAATCTGGCCCGTGGCATGCACACGGGGCCCGGGACAGAGAGCCGTACCTTCTTTGCGTTGGATGATATCGTGTTGGCCATCAAACTCTCCAGATAGCTGCCGAGGCTGATCCCCTTCACAGTGATGATGGCTTCTTGTGTGAGCACAGTCCTACAGAAGAGCAGCAAGTAAAGGGGCTGAGTAGCCCTGACCGAGGGGAGGCTCCGGCCCACCCCGAGCCTGGAATTCAACGTGTCAATCCCAGGATGCAGTGACTTACATTTCAGGGTCCTCCGGATGCGGAGTGTACACCAGCCTCTCGTTCACCGACACCAGGTTTGTGAGTGTGATCTTGAAACAAAGAATGGCTTTAGCTTCTATTTCTCTTGCATTTCTTCCCAGACCATCTGCCCATACCCTTCCACCCCCAAATCAGCACTCACTGAAGCCAGAAGAGAAGAAATATTTAGGCCCTGGGAGTGCCACCACGTTAAGTCCCAGGGAAACCTAGTCCTGGCCGCTCCTGGCGACCGTCACCTGTCCTCTACACCCAAACCTAAGTCTGGCCTGGCCTTTGAGGCACTTTCAAACCGCCAAACCATCAGCAGTCATACAAAAGCATAATCCTTCTGGGTTAGCATCCAGGTAAATGAGCACAAAGCTGATAAGCTTTTTTTATAGAATACGATTTTATAAAAATAAACCATGTCTAGCCCATGCATTTTCCCCAACACATTTTTTGAATGTGCAGTAGGCCAATATAAATTCTTTTGAGTGAGAGAGGAGTGAAGGGGAAAAGGTGCTTTTAAAATTACTGCTAAAAATCACCTCTGCTGTTGGAAGTCAGGATAGTGGTTATCTTGAGGGTGGGGTGGGGGCGCCCACCAGAAGGGAGCACAAGGGGAGCTCCTGGGGGATGGTCACACTCTGTCTCTGAACTGTCTGCTGGTTACAAAGGTGTGTTCACTTTGCGACAATTCATTTTGTGCGTCTTTCTGTACATTTATTATACTGGAATAAAAAGGTAAATAAAATACTGCTGAATAAATTCAGCCTTTCCACTAAAAATAAAAGATCACTTAGACCAAAGGTGGGCTAGAAATAAAATTAAGACATTACCCACCACACCAGGAAATACCAAGCACCTTTCTCATCTTAGGCCATTGCTTACGTTGGTGGAACAAAGTTCCATTTTCTTTTCTACTGGATCCACAACAGAATGTTCTTTGATGTATGTCAAAGTCCTACTCGTTCCCAAAATCTAAAAAACAAAGCAAAACTAGCATAGTGACATGTCAAAAATTTCATTCTGTAGGATCAAACGCAAATTTCATTTACTAATTAAGTCCTTTATCTAGTCAACGAAAGATACAACTGGGGATCCAGCCACGGACTGCCCTGCACAGTTCCTCGGGTGCCTCTGCCCCAGCAGCCGAGGCTGGCATTGGTCCAGTGAATGAATTCAGGTAGAGGTGAGTGTAGGACAATAATAAATGGCTTGACAGAAAAGAAAACGGCGAGGGGCAGGGAGCGTGGGGAAGGCTCTCTGCCGGGTGGCAGAGCCAGGAAGGGAGAGGCACCAGGCAGTCCTGGGGTTAGCGGGGTGAGCTGCCGATGACGCCTCCTGGGCCCAGCCCCACATGCTGAGCTCCTGGCGGAGTGAGAGGCTGGCATGGCAGGGGAGGGAGAAGGTGGGCTCCCTGGGGTGTTGGGTCCATGTTAGCGCTGGGACTCTGTGTTGAGAAGAGAGCAGGGGCCCGGGGAGGGGCAGGAGGAAGTCATGCTCGGATTTACATTTTCAATGACCTCCCTGATGGCTCTGCAGAAGAGACTTGTCATGGACTGAATGTGTCCCCCAAAGCTCATATGTTGACGTCCTGACCCCCAACACCTCAGAATGTGACTTGTATTTGGAAATAGGGCCTTTGGAGAGGTAATTAGGTTTAGATGGGGGTCATTAGGGTGGACCCTATCTTAGTCTGAGCAGTGTCTTTATAAGAAGGAGAGATTAGGACACACAGAGGGAGACAGCAGGGCTGCAGGAGGTGAGGGACCACCACGTACAGAGGCAGCAAGACGGCAGCAGTCCACCAGCCAAGGAGAGAGGCTGGACCGGACCCTCCCCTTATGGTCCTCAAGGAAATCAAGCTGGCAGGCGCCTTGATCTTGGACCTCCAGCTTCCCGAGCTATGAGCAAACAAGTGTCTGTTGGGGCCCCCAGTCTGTGGTATCTGGTTAGGACGGCCCCAGTGGACACGGGGCCGAGAGGGTTCTGGGCTGGTGGGGCCAGGGCCGAGGCTGGGGAAGCCGGGCCACACACCACGGAGATGGAAACTAAACGAAGTTTACAGAGAAACAAACCATCTCGCAGGCTTCTCTGAAGTCCTGAGTGGGTGCTCTAAGGAAAGGCTGTCACTTCCTGCAGATGGGCACTTGCCAGGCAGATGCAGGTGCAGCGGGGACAACCTGGATGGACGCAGGTAGGGCCTGGGCGGGGCAATGCGGGTGTCTCCTGGGCATGCGCGTGAGCGGGGCACTGCGGGTGTCGCCTGGGCATGCGCGTGAGCGGGGCAATGCGGGTGCAGCCGGGACAATGCGGGTGTCGCCGGGGCACGCGGGGAAGCGGGCCATCGGAGGCGCGGCGGGGCAAGCAGTCGCAGGCTCACCGCTTTCACGAAGCCGGGCAGCCCCCACTCGGTGCTGAGGAGGCGGTGGCTGTGAAGCCGGCCCCGGCTGTCCACACTGCGCTCCAGCACGTCAACTCCCACGACACAGGGGTTCATTGGATTCGGGTACTTCCTCATGGCAGCTTTGATGACGGTGTCCCATGGGTGGCTGGTGGGAAACACATAACCACCCGGAATAAGCAGGCAATCCCTACATTTGTAAAGCGCGCCAGAGTGGCCCAGGGCGGCCAAGATGCGGGGGCCCACAGAGTGAAATGAAAATCAATGTTAATGCTCTCATTAAACGGTTTTTCTTTTGGTTTTAATTAAAGGTATATTCAAACAAATCTATCTGAGGCATCCGGCTCCATACCCAGATCCAGGATCCTGTGATCCTTCTGGGCTGACCAGAGGCCATCAGAAGGCTTTGCCTGGCAGAACTCTCAGGACGCTGGAGACACAGAGGTCTCAGACTGTTGGCAGCCATGCTCAGTGTGTCTGCATTCCCAACCCAGATGCTGCACTCACAGGCCACCCCAGCACTGGGGCCTTGGCTGAGCCACTTGCTTCCCTCCACTCAGCACCTTCCTGTCCACATCTTCCACCACCAACCCCTTGCACTCCCCCAGTCCCTAAGAAGCAGCACCCTTTCCTTTGGGGCTTCTGGGTAGATAGACATGTCTCCCCATCCCCAGCCTGTCACCTGCCCCTCCCATGCCGTTCCATGGTAGGGGCGGAACACTGGGGAGCTGGAGTTTATTTGCCTCTTTGCCTGCACTATTGCGGTGAATGAAGGCTTGGCTGTGACTTCCAGTTGGGCTCCTGGACCTAACTGACCACCTTGACACCTGGAACTCAACACTAAAGTAGTATAGTAACGCACCTGCCTTATGTGTATCTAGAACAGGCTACTACTCCCAGCTGGTGATGCTCTACTGAGAACCAACTACAGTTGACCCGTGAGCAACACTGGTTTGAAGTGCGTGGGTCCACTTATATGTGGATTTTTTTCAATAAATACAGAATAGTACTGTAAATGTATTTTCCTTATGATTTTCTTTTTTTTTTAAGATTTATTTATTTATTTTAGAGAGAGAGAGAGAGTGCAAGCATGGTGGAAGGGGCAGAGGGAAAGAGAGAGAGAGAGAATCTCAAGCAGACTCCCCAGTGAGCACAAAACCCAACGTGGGGCTTGATTTCATGCCCCTCAGATCATGACCTGAGCCAAAATCAAGAGTCAGACACTTAACCAACTGAGCTACCCAGGCGCCCCTTCTTTATGATTTTCTTAAGAACATTTTCTTTTCTCTAGTTTATGGTAGGAATACAGTATATAATACACATAATATATAATATGTAGTAGTATATATAATATATAATACACATATAATAATATAATATGTAGCATTATATATAATAATACACATAATATATAATAATATATGTAGTATTATATAATATATAATACACATAATATATAATAATATAATATGTATTACATATAATATATAATATGTGTATTATATATTAGATATAATACATATGTATATACATATATAAAATACATGTTAACCAACTGTTTATGTTATCAGTAAGGTCCATATTAGGCTTTAAGTAGTTAATTGCTGGGGGAATCAAAAGTTATACATTATTTTTATCTACAGAGTCCATGCAACCCCTATTAAAATACCAATAACATCACCCCAATGTTTATAGCAGTAATGTCCATGTGCTCGCTTCAGCAGCACATATATAGCAGTAATGTTCACAATAGCCAAACTATGGGAAAAGCCTAGATGTCCATCAACAGATGAATGGATAAAGAAGATGTGGTATATATACACAATGGAATATTATGAAGTCATCAATAAAATGAAATCTTGCCATTTGCAACGATGTGGATGGAACTAGAGGGTGTTATGCTAAGCGAAATAGGTCAATCAGAGAAAGGCAAGTATCATATCTCACTGATATGAGGAAACTGAGAAACAAGACAGAGAATCATAGGGGAAGGGAGGGAAAAATGAAACAAGATGAAACCAGAGAGGGAGACAAACCATAAGAGACTCTTAATCTCAGGAAACAAGCTGAGGGTTGCTGGAGTAGAGGGGGTGGGAGGGATGGGGTGGCTGGGTGATAGACATTGGGGAGGGTATGTGCTATGGTGAGCCCTGTGAATTGTGTAAGACTGATGAATCACAGACCTGTACCCCTGAAACAAATAATACATTACATGTTAATAAAATTTTTTTTAAAAAACTATTAAAAAAAAACACATGTGGTTTATCTAAACTCTCAAGAAAATACCAATAACATTTTTCACAGAACTAGAACAAATAATACTAAAAATTGTTTAGAACCACAAAAGACCCCAAATAGCCAAAGTAATCTTGAGAAAGAAGAACAAAGCTGGAGGTAACACAATCCCAGGTTTCAAGCTATACTACAAAGGTGTAGTAATGAAAACAGTATGGTGCTGGCACAAAAACAGACACACAGATCAAAAGAACAGAATAGAGAGCCGGAAATAGACCAACACTTACATGGTCAATTAATCTACCACAAAGGAGGCAAGAATATACAATGGGGAAAAGACAGTCTCTTCAGTAAATGTGCTAGGAAAACTGGACAACTCCATGCAAAAGAATGAAACTGGACCACTTTCTTACACCATACAAAAAAATAAAACTCAAAATGGATTAAAGACCTAAATGTGAGGCATGAAACCATGAAAATCCTAGAGGAAAACAGGCATACATTGTTTGACATTGGCTGTAGCAATATTTTTCTAGATATATCTCCTAAGGCAAGAGAAACAAAAGCAAAGAGAAATTATTGAGACTACACCAAAACAAAAACTTTTGCACAGTGCAGGAAACCATCAACAGAAAAAAAAGGCAACCTAGTGAATGGGAGAAGATATTTGCAGATGATATATCTGATAAAGGGTTAATATCTAAAATATATAAATAATTTATTCAATCCAACACCAAAAAAGCAAATAATTCAATTAAAAATGAGCAGAGGACCTGAATAAACGCTTTTCCAAAGGGCCAACAGGTACACAAAAAGATGCTCCAGATCACTAATCATCAGGGAAATGAAAACCAAAACCACAATGAGCTATCACCTTATGTCAGATTAAGAGACATAAGGGAGTTAGAATGGCTAAAATCAAAAAGACAAGAAATAACAAGTGTTGGTGAGGACATGGAGAAAAAAGAACCCTTGTGCGCTGTTGGTGGGAATGCAAATTGGTGTTGCCACTGTGGAAAACAATTTGAGGTTCCTCAAAAAACTAAAAAATGAAATACCATACAATTCAGTCATTCCACTACTGGGTATTTACCCAAAGAAAACAAAAATATTAATTCGAGAAGATATATGCACCCTTATGTTTACTGCAGCATTATTTATAATAGCCAAGATATGGAAGCAATCCAAGTGTACATTGATAGATGAATGGATAAAGAAGATGTGGTATATATGTATATACAATGGAATATTCCCCAGCCATAAAAAAGGGTGAGACTTTGCCATCTGTCACAACATGGATGGACCTAGACAGCATTATGCTAAATGAAGTAAGTCAGACAAAGAGAGTCAAATATCATATGACTTCACTCATAGGTGGAATCTAAAAAACAAAACAAATGAATAAACAAATAAAATGCAGAAATGCGGAGAACAAACTGGTGGTTGTCAGAGGGGAGAGAGGTAGGGGGGATGGACAAAATGAATGAAGGGGAGTGGGATATACCAGCTTCCAGTTATGGAGTGAGCACCTCATGGGTACAAAAGATACAGCATAGGGAATGTAGTCTAGCCTTCTGTGGTGCAGATGGTGGCTACCTGTGGTGAATGTGGCATAACGTAGAGAGATACTGAATCACTGTGATACACCTACAACTAACATAACAGTGTGTCAACTACATTCGACAGAAATAGATATTTAGGAAGTAGTAGTACTTTGTAACTAATTGTAAGAGAAAGAAAGATAAAGTGACCAGACATTCCAGTTTGCCCAGGACAATTCCAATTTTGCCTTTTGTCTTATTGGACATATTAAGAGTGTCCTCTTTTACTTTTAAAGTTATCCCAACTTGGATGATAAACTATGTATTAATCCTGAAAATAAGGAGAGAGGAGGACTCAAGAATGATGCCCAAGTTTCTGGCTTGAACAACTGTGTGGATAGTTGGGCCATTTACTAAAAGGGGATTTTTTTTTTTAAAGATTGTATTTGAGGGGCGCCTGGGTGGCTCAGTCGTTAAGCGTCTGCCTTCGGCTCAGGTCATGGTCCCAGGGTCCTGGGATCGAGCCCCTCATCGGGCTCCCTGCTCAGTGGGAAGCCTGCTTCTCCCTCTCCCGCTCCCCCTGCTCGTGTTCCCTCTCTCACTATATCTCTCTCTGTCGAAAAATAAATAAAATCTTAAAAAATATATATTGTATTTGAGAGAGAGTGAGAGAGAGCATGAGCAGGGGGAGGGGCAGAGGGAGAGGGAGAAGCAGGCTTCCCGCGGAGCAGGGAGCCCGATGCGGGGCTCGATCCCAGGACCCTGGGACTATGACCGGAGCCGAAGGCAGACGCGCAACCAACTGAGCCACACAGGCGCCCCAGAAAGGGGATTTTTAAACAAGTTACACATAATTTTCAGTTGTGCAGGGGCTCAGCACCCCTAACCCCCCACATTATTCAAGGGAAACTACTTTGTCCCACCTTTGAAGTGGTATATGGCCGTGAAGTGGCCAACATATTTTTTTCTGATTATAAAGTGTCCAAAGTTCTGAAAAACAAAGTATGCAAATAAAAGCATCCACAATTCCACTATCCAAAGACGATGCCAGGCTGTGTGGGAGTCCCCGAAGATGTCCCCAGCTCTCCCTGAAGCTTCTCCTGCAGGCCACCGCCACTCTCTCTCTCTGGCCCTGAGCCCTTGAGGTGGGGGGTGGGCATCTTTGTCCCTGTTTGGTGTCCCGCTAGCGGCGAGGTCCCGAGCCACATTTACGGCTGCCCCACTCCTGGGGCAGCGCTTCTTTAGTGCTTGGTTAGGCTGAAACCCTACAGCTGTCCGCAGGGAGTCAGAGGTGCGCCCTTCAGGTTTTCAGGGTGGACCGCCCCTCTGGGTGCTTCTTTCCCTAATTCTTCCTTCCTCAGGATGTGTGTGC